ATATATGGAATACTACTCAGCCATAAAAAAGACAAAATTGTCCCATTTGCAGAAACATGGATGGACCTTGAGGATATTATGTCAAGTGAAATAAGCCAGAAAGAGAAAGACAAATGCCATATGATTTCACTCGTATGTGGAAGATAAACTAACACACAAAGAGAACAGTTTAGTGGTTACCAGAGGGGAAGGGAGTTGGGGGTTGGGCACAAGGGGTGAAGGGGAACATTTATACGGTGACTAACAAATAATAATGTACAACTGAAATTTCACACTCTTATAAACTATTATGACCTCAATAAAAATAAATAAATAAATAAATGAATAAATAAATAAATAAATAAATAAATAAATAAACGGGAAGTGGTATAATATGGATGATTGAATACTGACCTGAGAAGAAATTTCCAGACGTAACTTTTGATGACATTCTCTAATATTACGACCATTGATGAGATACTGTATTCTGCAGACATTTCTGGGTCTTTAACATGGGGATGATGTAATTTTCTCTACATTTACCCTATGAGACCACTTGTAAGAGCGGTGCTGGTTGGTGTTTACTTAATGCACTGAACTTCTTTGTAGGGCACCTTTAAAGCACTATTTTGATTAATTCTGAATTGACTGTATTCCTGAGTTTTGGAAATCAAATTTTAACGTGAACTTGCAAACAGGCTCAGGGCTTCACCCTAATTCGTATTCCAGCAACCCTCACTGAAGCAGGATGCAGAGTCAAGCTGTTGCCATGAAGATTGTTTCAAGAGCTCAGAAATCCTCCAGGAAGCCCTTTATCACTGCTTTTCAAAGAGGCCTTTGTTCTTCTCTTCTCCTGTTTCCTGCAAAGGGAGTGGTGTCCAATACTGGGGGACACGGTGAGGCCAAGAAGGACCCGAGGACTCCTCTGGGACTAGGATCTTCTAAGCTGTGAAATCTGCCGTTCTGATCACTATCCTTTCTTCCTTTGCACCCCATCACATTGTAATAAATGCTACTATTTTGTAAAACTTTACTACATAATAAAATGTGCTTTTTATTTCTAGAGGACTGAGCTCCCAGGTCTATTGGCATTTGTTTTAAGTCTTCTGTGTAAAAAGTCCATCAAATTATCATTAAAGTAGCATTTTTGGACTATGTTATCTTTTTGGAGATCTTAATTGACTTAAAATTTTCCTTATTAACGGGTACCAAAAAGAGTCCTGATCAAAGTCAATAAAGTTGACTTTTATTTTAAGTACGTTACGCTTAAAATTTTTTTTTCCTCTGAAAGGTAGGGGCCAGAAATGAAATAGTAAAAAATCCCCAAAGTTTGTGTTAAAATTACTTATTACAGATATGAATGTAGATCCAAAGTTAGTACATGGATTTAATGTATTTTCAGTAAAGTTAGGAATAAAAATCACATCACGTATTTCATTTTATTTGAAGTGACTGGGAATTGCCATTTTCCTTTTGAAAGGAAATATAGAAGCTTTTCAATTTCACAACATTCTTGGGGAAACATAGCTGTCCTATTAAATAGGCGACATGGAAAAAGAGAAAATAAGAAGATTTTTAAGGAGGCTAAAGGAGGCAGACTTTCTCAGACATATTCATATTCAATCCAATAGACCATAAGATTTTCTTCTGAAAAGAATATTAATCTTGGTCTATGTATGTTATCAAACTAGAGTGTGAGTGCATGCTGGGGGGAACATGGATGTATATGAAAGTGTGTGAAACCACAGAATAAACTGAATTCTTATTCTTAAAGTCTGTGTGTATATATATGTACACACACGCAATGAGATAGATAGAAGCTAAATTTGTATTTATTTTTAAGATAAAACATTAGAGTTCAAGGACATTTACAGCTTATAGGGAAGCAAGTCTGACCCATGAAGTATGTATTTGTTCTTCTCTGAAGTGAGGGCTTTTTCAACAGCAAACCTTGAGAATGCTGATGCACGATCAGGAAATTAGTGTTTGGACAAGAAATAAACAATATGTTCTTTTATGGTCTGAAAAGGTAAAAAATACTTGGCTTCAGGTATTTAGAAATAGTGCACAGATCCAGGCTTACACTAAGATAACCATTTTCCCATTTTCAATTATTTGAGGATATAAAAACAAAACAAATAAATACCATTGTTGAATACCTGCTATATACAAGCCAGAACTGTATGTAGGGAAGTGGCCAGGACAGGCAGCATTCACGGGCATGTAGGGCAGGCCTTGGTCAAGCTTCTGGGGAGCAGGAAATGCCTAGCCGGTGGATGGAACACAATGTCCCACAGCATATTGAAACTGGCAAGTGGGTACAGGAGGTTTCTTAGCAAGTCAGAGTCCTCAGGCTGGTCTAGAAGAGGCAAAAAGAGTATATTGACACACATGTGGAACAAAGTAGTGAAATGTCCAGGAGGAAGCATTTGGAGAACATTAAGGAGGTCTGGGTGCGGGTAGGAAAACTGAGTCCTCAGGAGCTGGAAAAAGTGACTGGCAAGACTTCTAGTTTAGAGGACTCGAGGTCCAGGGCATATCATCAACCTGGGATTCAGTATGTGGGAACCTACCAGGGATCTGGGATAAAGCCTGTTTATGGTTTGCAGGAGTCTGCTTGCTTGAATGGGGTTGGGGTGAGGTTGACAGCAAGCATAATTTAATGCTGATCCCTCAGGACTGACCTGAGTGGCTCATGACAGTTATCCTCTCTAAGAAGGGGACTGATTCCAGGATGCAGAATAGGGAAGAAAATGCAAACAGTGCTCATATAGCCTCAGGTGAGGAATAAGGAAAGTCACTGGCACTTCTCCAATTGTTATGCAGGTGCAAAAATTATTTAATTTTCTCTTTCTGTCGTGAATGAATATGCTACCTATTTGGTGGCATAACACATAAACACATTCAAATTAAGTGTCGATACATAATTTAATGTTTTAATCAATGTACGTATTAAACAATTTGATTTTGCAAAGGAATTTTGGAAACAGAATCCAACTTTAAGCCTGGCAGGAAATTAATATTTGGACAAGGAATACTAGAGCATTCTAATGTGGCATATACTCAGATTTAGAATAAGACTATGCTATTTTTCAAACCATTCTAGGGATATAAAAGCTAATCTAGTTAGAATGAGAATATTAAATTAAAAATAAGCTCCTTAGGATGGAATTCAGACCTTCCATATAGGCCTGGGGGATGAAGTGCAGTCAGCAGTGACCTGTGGGAACCAGGACCTGCGTTGACACAGAGAGAGTTGGAGACTCCGGTTCAGCAAGGACAGAAGGTGCAGTAAGAGCCTTGGAAAACGAGACTCTCTGACAGTTCTCTTTAAACCTCCACTGGGAGTAGGCATGCACTTGCTTATGCTAGATTTGAGCTTTGTGTGGGAATCAGGATCAGAACACAAAATACCCCCCTTCGCCTGCTGCTCTTGGGGTTAGCCTGCTGCCTGCTCACATGAGCCTCTGTTTTGTCCATGCCTGGCAATAGCTGCTTGGAACCTCGCCTCTGGCAGCTGATGATTTCAAGTATCCAGACCTGTCACGATGCTCTCCAGGAGAGCCATCAGGCTGTCATCATCTATTAGGCAGTCCCCGGCTGACACACGGGGCCTTTCACTGAGTGCCCTTCTCTCTTAAGCTTTTGAATTGCATCTTTTGATAGGAGTTGAAGAAACAAGTTCAGAATCCAAATTGAGGCATTCGGTCGCTCTCCTACCCACTTGGCCTAATTTCTTTGGTCACTATTTTTCAGTTTGGGCAAAGTTTGTGTGGTTTTGACAATTTCAAGACCTTAGATGCAACCACTGATTTCTTCAGAAGGACTGTTTCATGGGACACGAAAGTGGAGCAGCTGGGTGCTTTCTTCTCATACTCATCATTGCCAAGGAAATGAAAAGACCAAGTGTTTAAGAAAACTGGATGAAGCTAATCTTTCTTTCTCTGGACCCAGCTCAAGCCCACTCCATTCTTCAGCAGAAGAATGTCAGGTCCTGCCTCTGAGGTGCTTCTCTTGCCATTGATGGGGTGACATGACCATACCCTTGCCAGAAACTAAGACACGCTTGACCTCAGCATGTATGAGTTACAGGAGTTACTATGACCCAAATCTCTTCTTGCTATTACTCTGCTACTTAACTGTGGCCCTGTTGTGATAACTAGGATTCAACCTTGTTAACTGTTTTGATAAGACGATTTCGCTCTCCTGCTTTTCTGGGTGCTCCTATCTTTGTTCTTGACTATATACGCATGTTTCTATAATTAGAGTCCAATATGCTTGTGTAGTAAGTGTTTATTCATGACTATCCTTTAACCATTTTGCCTTCTTTGGTAACCACATCCCAAATTTCTTCAGGGTCCATGCCTTCCCCACTTGCAAGGATGGAATACATCATCTAGTTTTAAATCATTCATGTTTCACTAGCCCTTGTCATGGGTTCAAAGCTAGGTATATGACTCAAGCAGTTTCTATCAGACTGAAAATGAGAGCACTTTTGTCAGCTCTACCAGGAAATGCATGCTTTTAGTTTTTGCAGGCTAAGGTTTAAGAAGCTGTAAGGTCTAAGGTCTGGAGCTGTAGCAACCATTTTATGGGTCATTGAGGGTAATTGTGTTAAAAAACATGCAGAGGAGAGCAGAGCCACAGTAGCAGTGACAGATGGAGAACATCTGGTGACATAATTTGAGTCCTTTCAAGCAGTCATCTCTTAAGCTGACTCTGTGTCAGTCTATTCTCTACTTTGCTTAAACAAGTTTGTATTGGATTTTCTGTATCTTGAATTTTAAAAAAACAGTGATAGAGTTTCAGTCTAATGGTTGGGCTTGGCACTTGCTGACAGCGTTCTTGATATCGTCTGTGACCTGGGTCTCTGATCATCTCCAACCACCTTCATATTTTCTGTGCTGGGTTTATCCCTTGTTGGAACATGCTGATATATCATATTCAATCCTGATGCTCTTTTATAGTCTGGATGAAATTCCAAGATATAGCAACTGTGTTTTTTCCCTCGTGTATTTTAGGAAAGCTTAATGACTCAACAAATAAATTATCTCTTCAATAACTCAAAATGGGGAGGCTTCAAGGAATTTCACATAACTGACCCCTGGATACATAAATATATTAAGGTCAGTGGCTCATTAGTTTTTCTTTTTCCATTGTGGACATTGTTATATCATTTTACTTTCTTTGATAGTGACCCTTGTGGCATTCTACTTTGCTGGTAACTGCTCATAAAAGGAAGAGATGATGAAAGCAATTTCTGTAATAGATTTTATTATAATGGGATCAGAATGGCAGGGAAGGCAAAGAAGTAGTTAGAGGCAAGGCAGCCCCATGGTTCTCATTACCATGCATCTTGTGGTTTTCTGAGAAACTAAAGATAACCTGAGAAGTAGGATTTAAACAGCGCATATTGAGATCTCTAAACTCTTGACTTCAGTCATACAATGAAACAGAGACAGACCTACGTTCTCCTGTAGACCATGGACTATGTGAGAATGGAGGTTGGTTCGGGGCATTGTACTGAAGCCCAATCTGTGTTCCAAACTCAGAGCCAACCTTAAGACTTTTAGGAATAGTAAAAACGCCCTGTGGGAAAAGTTCCTCTTCTACTCCTGGTGGTATACAGTACCTCTTTTAATTATACCCTTTTAATTAGGACTTTCCCCCAAGTCTTCTTTTTTATGGCTCATTCTGTGCTAAAGGGATACAGATGTCTCATGGGTTAAAACAAAACAAAATCTAACTCCTCCACAGCAAATTGAGAAGCAAGTTAAGTCCTCCTCATTTTTTGACCCTCTCTTTCTTTGATTGCTTCCAACTATCCTTCTCTTCCTTTTTACTAAGGTTCTCCCCTTGCTTTTTGATTCTGATCCATTACGTAAAACATTTCAGCCTTGGTGCTAAGAAAGTAGCTAGGAAAGAAACTCACAATATGAGGGGCAAAGAGGTTCCTGGGGTAAGAGGGGTGACAAAGAGTTGAGGCTCTTAATTTGGGAAGTCTTCATAGACAAGGTAAAATATAAACAGTTTGGAAAAAAGGAGTGTCATCATGAACTAGTAGAGAAAATGTAAGGGTTACTTGGAAGGTGGGCCAGCTGGAGAAGAGAGTCCACATTTGTCAGTTAGAATTAGATTCACAAAGATTAGTAGTGACTGTTTTTAAAAAAAGAATTTATTAAACACTAGAATGTTAGTATGCTAACGTAACACATTAAACACTGGTATGGTGCTTTGTGGTCATCAAGGACTCAGCCTCCTATCAATCTTTTGCCATCTAAGGGCATGGCTTCCATTCTCAAAAGTATTACCTCTTGGTCCAAAATGACTCCTGAAGCTCCAGTCATCAAATCTGTTTTGTAGTTAGAAAGGACAGAGGCTTTTTCCAAGTCGAGTTGGTTTCCTTTAAGCAGTTTTTCCAGAATTCCCTCGCAAGACTTCTGCTTATCTCATTGTCCAGAGCTTGGTCACATGGTCACAATTAGCTGCAGGAGTGTCTAGGAAATGTCTTTTAGCTGGTTGCGTTGACACCTCAAGTAAAATCTGGGTTTTGTAACTAAGGAAGGATGAGAGAATGGCTCTTAGGTAGCAACTTGTAGTCACTGCTACAAAAATCCTTCAAACCTGTGGTTGCTTCTTTCAGACTCACTAAGTTGTTAGAAGCTTTATAGTCTTACAAGGAATATGTTTGTTCTTATTTTCAAAGTAAGAATTGGTTAGGGAGAGTCTGAGTAAGAGTATTGGCCTTGGGTATCATGACGTGGGTATGAGGATGGAAACTGTAATTTCTGAGAAGGAGTTTATAGGATTCGATTATGAGTAAAGTATGAAAGGAGGTAAAAACAAGATTTTAAAGTCTTGGGCTCTTATATATGACAAAAATGGTCAAACAGGAGTTAGAAAGGGATGAGAAGCGCACAATAGAAGATCTGAGTTTAACACTGAAAAATTTGAAGTAGATTTCAAATGTAGGCTTATGTTACCGGATGAGGGTGGGGAGAAGGCATGGAGTAAAGTAAATAATGAGCTGCGTTTAGAAGTAAAACCAGTGCATTTTATCACTGAGGTTGGCCACCTGGTTGACAGGCAAGTCATATAAAGTAAATGGGTAAAGAGGAACACTTGTAACACAATAGGGAATGTTGAGAATTGTAGGGACTAATTGAAAGGGGCAGCTGCTGCTTGGCTGCAGTCAATTATTATCGTCACAGGAATCCAGCTTAGATCTTCTACTTTTTCAAGGGAAGACAGAAATCCAGATTTTTACTAAACCTTTCAGATTTAAAAACCATTGTGCAGGGCAAGCAAATATGTCTAAGGCTGGATTTGTCCAATGGACCAGTTTGCAACTTTTGATCTAATTCAGCATCTCTATTTTGCTAAGACTCGGAGAGATCTAATGACTTACCCACAGTCACATAGCTCATCGATAGTAGAGCTGGGACAAGAACCTTGCCCCTTGACTCCCATTTCTTTCTCCTGCCCCACATTCTGAGTAGGTTTTTGATCGAGCTAAGGAAGTCATGGGGAGCCATTTGGTGGAAAGGAATAATAAGGGGAATTAGGCACTTCACATGAGGTTTGCAGTTAACTCTCAAAGTACCTGGCACAGTGCTTAGCATTCAGGAGGCATCAGTCAGTGTTAGCTCAATCTCTATGTGAATTGTTAAAATCATGTAAGTTAATGAACAAAATAGAGAGAAAGGAAAAGAAGCAAATGAGTCATTATCAAACCTTGGGGAGCCCCCATAATTAACAATGGAAGCAAGATAATGAATTAGCAAAGAGAGCGTCCAAGGAGCAGTCAGAAGCAGCCAGGATTGCTTTGTGAATCTCTTGCCTTTACCTTTGCCCTAATTACAGCTTTAAGCTCTAAATGTTTTAATTTGAGGATAATTTCCAGCCCTTTAATAAATTACTTTCCAATTATATTGCTGCCTTAAACTTATAGCCCATAAGAAAGTGTGGTCTTCAGAGAACATTTCTTTTCCTCTTAGTAGAAATTAGATAGATTGATTAATTTTGGCTTAAATTTCTAAAAATGTGCAGTTGTATCTTGAGATTATCCCACTATTAGTGGTTAAGTGTCTCCAGAATAAGTAATTGTTGTCATTAAAAAAATAGTTTCACCAGAAGAAATGTCCTTTGAAAATCCCCTTTTTGTTATAAATGTGTCCTTATGTGTCGCCAAAATTTGCTGGATTCTCTCAATATCATAGATCACAGGGTAACAATTTTTGAGGTGACCAATTCTGTTCTAGGTTTTAATGTGCATAGTGAAGTGAATTTTTAAGACACTGTTTAAAGTTCTGAGGAGAGAAGTCCCTGGAAACTAGAATTTTTGATTTAGTGCTCATGTTAGAATCTTGACTAGTGAACACAATGGAAAGACCTTGGGGATCTGGTGGATTCTCCTTAAGCAATTTATCTCAGAACTAACTGCTTTTAGCAGTGGATTTTGCTTACAGTAGTAATGGCCTATATTTATAATTTGTTCTCTTGGCAATTATCTCAACAGAACTGAAGCACCTCAAGGTCACTGGGGCTAGACTAATGTTACATACTGGTAACTCTCGCATATTTGATTGGATTTATCATTCCAATACCCCAATTTAAGATGCCGAGAAGAGCTGGAATGCGGTCACTAAAAAGAGGAAAAAAAAATGTCTGTTAATCATCTGAAGTTTAACCATGCCCTTATGCTTTTTTTTCTTCTCTTTTTAGTTCCAAGGCACATATAAAATGCCTACAGATCTCAACAAGAAAATGGGATGTTTCTCTGCTATCAGCTAAAGCTGCTGTGACCATAAAACGAAAAAATCACCTATTGTCTCCTTGCTCATAAAGAATGCCCACTAAAATTGGTCCAGTATCTTATCTCTCCATCCAGACAGTGCTTGTTGCTAAATACACAGCCTGTTTTTACAGTCTTCACTGAACTCTGGTTTCTGCCATTTTCAGTGGGGGGAAAATTTGTATGAAAAGTTCATAAGTAATGTGCAAATGGGCTATATTTTTGCAACTTGCTTTCATTGTCATCTGGGATCCATCGAGATTCTTCTGGGGAGACTGAACACCGTTCTGTGCTGCTAGTCTGGAGGAGTGAGGAGAGAAAGCATGACCCTACCACTTGGATGAGAGTTTCTGACATTGCAAGGGCAAAGATTCTGAACATCAAAGATATCCTTGATCATAGATCTTTGAAAGCAACTCTAAAACTTTCAGAGTGGACAAAAAGAGGCCTTTCCCATCTCCACTGAGTCCTGAGAAATAAGATGTATATTTGAGATGCAGCAAGAAAGACTTTAGATTCTTAACTTTTGGGAAGGTCACATACCCCTTTGATAATTAGATAAAAATTATGAACATTTTTCACAGAAAAAATATCCATAAAGACACATACATAGAATTTTGAAAACTTGAGGGTTGATTTATAAAAACTTGAAAGTGTTTGTTCCCTGAATACTTCTCTGGATTGTTTAGGGGTCCTGGACCCCAGGTTAAGAATCCCTGGAACTCTGAGGACAATTATGGAAATCTACCTTGACATCTCTGTCAAGCTGTGTTCCCCAGCTACACTTACCTATCTTATATGCAGGGAGATGTTAAGAGTAATAACCTGTGTTATGTGCCTTTTGTGTCAATCTGCCAATTCAGGAGCTCCATCTTCTGCAAAATCCTTTTCCCTCCCCCCACGTAATTATGTCTGAAAGTCCCCGAGACATTTCTGTTGTGTTCATGAACAAGCCCAGACAGTGGTCACATGACGTCCTCTGGGTCCTGATGCCTTTGCTGGACACTGATACCCTCTCTGTTGGATGTCTCTTGCTCCTCTGAGCACTGCCACCTCTGTTAGGCACCAGTGCTCAGCCTGCACATCATTGCCACTTTTGCTGGGGTCCATGGTTTTCTCCTTCTGTTGAAGCATTGGAGCCCTAGAGGGGCCAGGCATGCTCTCTATTCTCCAGAATTTCACTGATTTCAGGTACTCTGCTGTCAGGGAGAATGCTTTTCTCTCTTTTGTGTTACTGTTATTACCATTAGATGGTTTCTAGTGAGTTCTGATTTGATGGTCTTTAGCAAGATAATCTTTAACCTTTCTTTTCAATTCCTCCCTCCTTGGGGTGAAGGGCAAACCCAAGTGACCCCAGATTGTACTCAGAATCCTCAGTCCTCTCCCATGATTGAAGTTTGTCTCTGGTCCAGTGTCGTTTTTCTGACTCACTCTCCCTTTGGGAGCTCCTCATGCAAATGCCATTCCAGGGGCCTGCCTCCTCCCCTCCATTGAGGATGCTCAGAACTGGGGCTCAGCAAGAAATGGACCCAGCATAGATTTAAACGAGGAAATTCAAGAACATCAATATTTAAGAATAACGTAGACAATAGTGTGACCTTTGGGGCTTAGACATAATATTTTAGGGGCTATTTTGAAGAGGTCTTCCGGATCTCAGTGGTGTCCCTCCAAAGATGAGCTCTTTATAATTCTACTCTGTCCTATATCCAAGCCAGTGCAGTACTGTGAAAAACGGCATTAACAAAATTCTAGGCTCTTACTGGAAACAAGCTCCTTCTTTCTTGTAAATAAGTCTATACAACACCTGTAATAAGTTAGAGTCAGAATGATCTTTCTGTCATGATTCCATTTTTTTATACAACTCATGTACCTCAAACTCCGCAGGAGTCAATAAAATATGATTCTGAAATAATACTGAATTTTAAAGCTTAGTATGCAGTGTGTGGAAAAAATGCCTCACCATTTTTCTTGCTGTCATTTGAAGGTATAGGTGTAGATTCATCACAATATTGGAAACACATTTTGAAAATGCCAATATCTCCATCAGTTATAGATTTGTCATAATTAATGCTGACAGCTCCTGCTGTACTATTGTATTCTTCACTCACACCATTACTCCTCTCTCTGACACGCCGGACTGTGTTCACCTGCCTCAGTGTGGCTCTCTCTCCAGTGTTCTATATGCTTTCCCCTTCAACTTCCTACTGAGTGCCCTGGCCATCCTCAGGCCAAACAGGGAATTTCCAAACCAGTCTTCATCCATTTGTCTTAGGAACTTTCTTCTTCTCCCTCCATCTTAATTGCATTTTCTCTCATAAAGTATAATATTTCACGTATGCATATATATACATATATATATATATATAAAATACTTCTAGGGACTCATAGAGTAGGAATGTATTGGATCAACTTGCATCAAACTGGAACTTTGTCTTTTCTGCAATTTATATAATTTCCTCATGAGGCTAATCTTCTTGGATGTATGTATAGGGTAGGTGGCAGGTGGTGGAAGAGGGAAATTATGAAGTTGCAAAATAATTCTATGACTCCTTAATGATCTCTTTTATATGGCATTCTCGTTCAGATAAATGCTCAGTTCTCAGGTTTTCTCTCCCTCCCCAGCTCCTTTCTGAGGCTGCATCTTGGCAGATGTCGGAGGAGGGCCTTATGTCATCTTTTGGCGTGGGCGCAGGGGGCCTCACTGTTTGCCAGGCATCCTCTGGATCTTCTCTGTTAATTGGGCTGATGTGCAATGAGGTGCATCTGACCCCACCTGGACTCTTGGAAATGTGTGCTGTCATTGACTGCTGAAGTCTGTGCCTCTGGCCATTTTCTTTTGATCAAGAAATCCCCACATGCTGCAGCATGTCTAGACTCTGTGCCTCTGCCAATCCAGCAATTGTCTTAGTACTTCTGATCTCTGCCTGCGCTCCACCAGGCATGCAGGACACCAGAAACCCTTGAAGACATGTGAAGGTGGAGGAAAGCCAGGAGCAGAACCTCAGGCTCGTCTGCCTTGCCACATCCATCTGCCAGGGCTCCCTCACTCCTCTGCATGCCGGATGTGGCACTGAGCCACACACCAGGCTACTCCTAGAAGCTTGCAGGTTTTCCGGGCTACTGCTGAGGAAGCCAACCCCTACCTGGATGGATGTGTCCTTGTGTTCCCCCCACCTCACCATCCTCACTGTCCTCTAGGATTTTCACCTGGAGCCGGAAGTAGGAGATATCTCTATGGCTGCCTCTTCCTCCCTTCCTCCTCCTTCACTTTCCTTCTGCCTTAGAGGTTTTCCTTTATTTTCTCTTCCAATCTGGAAAGAACTTTCTCTGAGGTCATGCTGGCGGAGAGGCTGCCAGACATCATGATTCAAGGTGGTGTGAATGGAGGGAGAGAAATAGAAAACATATCATTTTAAAATTTTCAAAATAGCATCCTGAAAATAAAATTATATACCTGTAACTAGTGTTTCCCCAAACCACATATCATCCTTGAAGAAAGATGTGGATCATATGAATGGTAATAAGTACTATTCTTGTTCTCGTCTTTATTTTTTACTTGGGGACTCTAGCCCTACTCAAAGTTTTCTGCATTTATTTCTGTGATTCTTCCTCATGCATTTCTCTAAGTAGTGTGAATGTGACCAGTCCTCATCTGTGGCCTCCGATATCTGGGAAGCCCTGCGCATCCCTTCCGTGGGTGTCCAACATTGACGATGATAGTGATGATGCTCAGGCCAAGGACGCTGTCTCCAGTTCTTTGCAAACAGACTGACCTCTGCTGCTCTGGAAATGCTTGGGGCAGGGTCCTTGGGGAACCTGACTGCTGTGGTTGCGCTGCTGCTGCCCCAGGAGCTGGGTGAGGCAGGAGTGGGAGGAAGCATGCATCCTGGCTGCTTCTTACCCTGCTCTGGCTGCACTCGTGAGGTGCAGAACCCTCTTCACACTGGGCTATGAGGAAGTGGCAAGAAGGTCTCTCTTCTCCTAGGATGCTAGTCATACTTCTTAAAGTCTTTCAGGGATTTTTTGAGAGTACAAAGCTTATCCAGTGTTAACTTGCCACTCATAGCATAGTTCCATTATGGGCTATGAGAAAACATACCAAAACTAAGCTCGTTGTACCTCTTTTGGTGCCTGAGGTGTGCTATTGGGTCCCGCCTTTAACTGCTATTTCCTCTTTTGGTATACTTTGCATGTGTTTGGTCTTTGGGAGGTTCCTTAATTCATTATGCAAACACATAACTTGTAGGCTCTTCCAACCACTTTTCCAGACACCATATCACAGTGGTAATAAAATTTATTCTTAATCTGGGGCTCCTACCTCCACATATAATTTTTAAAAATTAAAGATTTACAACTTTCTGTTTAAATCTGTAAATGTACCAAGCAATCCCTTATAAATCTTTTGGTCTCTTATTCCCTGGGTTGCCAAATGGTTTCAACAAATTAAAGAAACCCTTGAAATGTTTGAATCCTGTCCCTACTAGACCCATTCCATAATAATGGAAGTAATTAATTAAACAATCTCTTTGTGTCAGAGTCTCTTTTAAGTAAAGGCTTTTAGGTTTTTCTCTTCTTCCTGCTCTTTCCAAAGATGGTATCTAATCTTACATCTCCTTTATTACATTGGTTTGTATGACTTTTCAAAAAGTCTTTTGCTTTCAAACTGGGGAAAAGTAAATTAAAGGTGGTGGGATGGAATGAAATGACCCTCCCCCCTCCAATTAGGATCATAAATAATCTATTGGGAGATTGTGCCATCCATTCTGGTTGACTCAGACAGAGCCATTCTCAGCTAATGTGTGGGCTCCTGGTAATAAAAGCAGGAACAAGTAGGAGTCAAATGTTCCTTTAGCAAAATGATGTCAGTTATTTCTCAAGGTTCTCAAGAAGTAGCTTTAAAATCATCTTAATATGAGGAGCATGTTTCCTTCATGTGAGAATAGTAGACTGAGCCTCCCTAGCATAGTTAATTGATTGATTCATTAATTAATTAACTAATAATTAATTACTTGCTACTGTGGTGAGATGTGCTTGTCCTTAATCGCGGAGGAACTTAGCACCAGGCTTCTGTGGAAATAAATGAAGACCCACCAAGTAAGAAGAAGCAAAGGCTATTTATTCAGAGCTTGCAAGGGAGTCAGCTACCATCACGTTCATTTTGGCAGAGACTCAAAGGCAGGCAGAGGAGTGGGAAAACTTTATAGTGGAAAAAAGAAAGGCTTCAAATATGCCCTGAATGGAGGCTGTTGGCATGGGGAAGGTATTAGTGGGCTAACTAGAAGCGGGGCATCCTATGTGATTGGTTAGGGGTGCATATTTGGCTTTATCTGGTTGGCCCTAAGTTGGAAGCAGGGACAAAAATTAAGGAATCTGTTAGTTATTAATCGAGTTCTGGATGTTTTGGGCTGATTGTTACAGGGGTTATTATTTGGATTGGTTGCTAGAGATAGTGGTCTGATTTCCTACAAGTCATGCTGGCTTCCTGGGCTTGTTACTGTAGATAATGGGTTGGTGGTTGTTGCAGATGGTGGGGTCAGAGTTCTATTTATATATGATCTGGCCATTGTCTGTTTGTATATTCAGCCTCTCAGTTCACTAGAGGAGAGTCAACCCAAATCAGACTATATACTGTTTCCTTTCACACATTTACAGTACCAGACCTCATCCAGACTTTTGAAGCCAACAGGAGCCTTAGGCAGAACAAAACCTACATGAACTTCCAGCTGAAGTTGAAGTTATATGAACTTGAAAGAAACAATTAGGATTAGGGGGCTGGCATTTCTCAAATGGTGGAGGGTGGGATTTTTTGGAGGAGAAAGGTAGAACACCGGCCAGGACAGTTACTTATAGATAGGCTGAGGGAAGATGATGTGGGAGAGGGGGGAGATGAGAGAATTAGTAAGAGAGGAAACATCCACATGGGGCAACCTCCCAAGGCCTAAATTCTAGCCTCTCAGATCTTGCTTGAGTTTCCCTGAGAAACTAGGCTAAGAATAGAGTCCCAATTCCCAATCTTTTGTCTCCAGTTTGCTTTATGATGCTTGTCTAATGCCTCAGTGAAAGAACTGCTTATGCCTGCACATCAGTGTGGGTTCAGTAGGAGAAGATGGGCATGGTGATGCTGGAGAAGGACAATGTCCAGGTCAGCTGGTTGGGCCCTGGATGAGAAAGGGTTGAGGGCTCCCCATAGCCCCCCAACATCTGAAGACTATTAGATGGAAAGGTCTACAGGCAAGTAGGCATCGCCTCTGAGTAGGAGACAGCAAGGCTGCATTCCCTGATCTTCCTGTCAGGCTCCTTGACAAAGCAAGGGGAAGCCCAGAGCCACCTGGGCAATATTAACCTCCCACCCCCAAAACAAACAAACATACAAACAAAATAAAGCAAAACAAATCAAAACTAGCCTAAAGATTAAAATTCCCTAAATTGTGACTCAGCACATATTTGGTATAGATTACCCATACACATAAATAATGTCTCTATTCTGGCTTTGATATAGTTGAAACAAAATATTGAGCAAGCTTTATTTACTTTTGGTGGGTAGGTTTCTTTGCTAAATATTGTTTTTACTGGTCAAAAAGCGTCTTCCCTTAAGGAAAATAGTCATAATATCCAAGGTACCAAACTTATCATAAATAAATTTTGTTGAATGATCTTTTCATGGTGAAGACATTCAGATTTGATTTACTTAATCCTAAAAAGATTTCTTAGGATTAGTCTAACTGAAGTCTTTTAGGGTGTGATACAGTGAATTATAAAAAAGAAACCAGTTCTTCAGATATTTGAGGGCTCGTGTTTATACTTTCAATTCGTCTGAAATACAGTTATTAACTTATATAGTCCTTCTGTGATGTAGCTATAGCTTTTATTGAAAAGAAAAATGTCATACTGTTTTCTGACTCAAGGGGTTTTGATACTAGATTAAATATAGTTTAGTTTAGATGATGAAGTTGAAAATGAGAAGAGTACAATCCTGTTTGTAAAAAAAAGAGAACTACTCCATATGTCTATCTGTATGGAACATATATTTGGGAGTTATTAGCACAAGTTTACCACAAATACCAAATAACTGGGGACGCAGATTTAAGGATTTCTGGTCAGGGCAGGACTTAGAGCTCTAAAGATTTCTAAAAGGGGAGAAGAAGACAAAACCTCAGACCAGGTGACCTGGCTTGGGTGGTTGGTTGGGTCGCACAGAAGAAAGCAAGTGTCCTCTGACTTAGGTGGCCTCTGCATATGAAGTCCAAACAATATGGGCAATACAGCTGAGGTGTAGCACCGAGTCACAAAATCATTAACCTAGAGCTCTTTAAATTCTCTCTGCTTTTAAGATAGTATTGGATCCAGAGTCTGGGACAAGATCAAACATGCAGGTGAGCACGGTGGTCCCAGTTTCAAAGACTATAGGAGTGTCAGGGCATGAAGCCAAGCAGATCCCAGAGAAGACAGAAGAACCTCAGGAGAGCATCCTGGACTTACCGGGAGGTTTGGCTCAGAGGAACTAACTGCCCAAAACAGTGGTAAATGCTAGTCAGATTTTCTATAAGGAGAGTTCAGGGACCTTGTTTTGATTGTAAGGATCTAGTATCTTTAGAAATGCAGTGTTGTTATTTGAGCCTCATGTGTGGGTTGCATGCATCCATTCTTTTTTTAATTAATAGGTTCCATTATCATGCTGCGGCATGGCTTTGGTGTGAGAATTTTCTCCACTCTCTAGGCCTGTGCTCTGTGCTGCTGATTGCTCACGGGGATGCAAGCTTGCACCTTACTAGATTATCAAACAACACGTGCACTTGTATGTGGCCAGTCAGTGAGCACAGCAGAATGGCTCTGAATTCATGTGATCATCACCCGCCAGGTAGGCAGGGCAAAGGACACACTATTCTCTCTTATGCCCAGTTCCACCAGGCCAGCTCTCTGATGATTTCAAAATTATAGTTTTGACACCCCAACACAGCGTCTCCCTCACTTTCCACCCTCACTTTCCAACTCTGATGACATAGGCTTAATCTCGATCTTTAGTTCTTTTCACATCTCTACCTCCTAATCCATTAATTTGCCTTTTGCCATATTCCACTGACTGTATTCTGGTAACTTGTAATGTTGCGCTGAGATTATTATGGAAGTCTCCTAGCAGGCCCTGCTGCTGGCAGTGTCTCTCTTCCTGAAACCACTTCTATTAGGACAATTTCCTGCTTAAGGTCTACACTTCTTATGGGTTCAAGCAGTTGCACCTTGTCGTCTAGATTTCTCACTGATGAACCCCACCTAGTGTTCTTCAATGAACTGCCTTTCTTCAGTGAACCGTCTAGCTTGTTTTGTTTCCATGCTCTTGCCGTCATGATTCCTGCACTGGAATAAAGCCTTTCCCTGACTCCATGCCCCATGGCCTGAGATGGTTTCCCCCATGCTCTGCCATTCTAATCCTCCCTGTAGGCAAAGCCCAGCCCAACACTCATATTCACCAAGCAGTTTTTCCAGTCAAACTCTAGTCCAGAGTGACTTCCTCCTTACACCAAACTTCCATTTCATCATAAATAACAAGCATTGTCACAGAGCTTCTCCAATTTGAAAAAAAACACTTTCATAGACAATCTATGCTACTATATAGTGTAGTCTCTTAAGTTAGTATCCATTAAGCCTATTTTCTTAGCTAGTGGCCAAGCTTTTTAATTTTAATTATTAATTTTATTTTAATTGGAAAGATTTCTCATTCTACACTTTGGGTTGAGATTAGTGGTTAGTGTAGGACTAAGCACAGATTAGTTTTCTATTTAATGTTTCAAGGAAAGTGTATTCTTCAGCAGGAGACAAGAGATTCAATTGGCGAGAGAAATGAGACTATAACAGGTTTATGTAAGGACAGGAGTAAACTGAGCTAAATGACTATACTTGGATCAAACTACTAAACCTCAGAAAAAATATAAATTGTATTAAATCAACAGTGACAAAATATATCATGCATCCTCTATCTCAGGAATTAGAAAATAATTCAATTGGATTATTTTGCTTTGTTTTCAGAACATATGATAAGTAATAATTTTCTATTTATGAGAGAGTTCTGAAATTTTTGATTTATCTTGTCATTCATTTTCCAAAATTCGTTTATTGGTTTGGTTGAAAAAATATTGAAGAGGTTTTCATTCAAAAAAGGGTTTCTCTTGATAACACATCAGCACAGGAACATAGGAAACCATTTTATCAACTTTTGAAAATAGCCTTGCAAAAATCTAAAAGTTGTTCGAATAAGAAGGTCTATATTTTAGTGTTTCTAAAGAAATTATTTTAGACTCTTCCATGTTGCAAGGAATAGAACACTATTAGCTATCCCACTTAGTGGGGGTTTCTTGGAAGGCTAGATACAGAAATAAAAGGAGGCAGGGGGTTGTTTCCATAACTACAGACAGGCCTAGAGGAGAACCAGGATGTTATACTGGCTACCAGAGCAGCTTCAGAGATCTTCCCGGTGTTATGTGCCTCTGCAACTTTGTCTCTGTCTATCACTACCCACCAACATCTCTCAAGTCTCCTCTCTACCTTATGGATTCTGCTTCTGAGTTCTGTGGCCATATTGTCTCTATTGCCTCTTGGCTTCTGTCTATTACATTCTCTATCTCTCCACTGTTATCCATCCTGATGTCTGTTGAAGTTATGTCGAAATGTCCTAAGAAAATCTAAGAAAATCTGTATTTTATCACCCACTTATGGTGCTAAGGCTCTCTTTAGCCTGCTAGGTTTGGATACAAATCCTTGGTCTAATTAGGTATGGTCAGAGTGGGAGGGGGTCATGTTGTTCAAAGCAGGTCCTTACCAAGTTGCATTTGATTGGTAAATTTATCCTAGACTAGAGCTGGCTTTGCAGATCCAGGAATTTGTTTTATCAGGGTCCCAGAATAGATAGAATTCAGGAGCCTGCAACTTCATGCTGAGAAACTCATAAGACAAATCTAAAAGCCAGAATATCAACTTATTTATTTAAAGGGAGAAATTTAGCTATCGTGCAAATCAGATATTTGCGACTGCCTGGCCAATTCATTTTTTCTCCCTGTAGGCAGAGCTGAACTGTAGGCAGATTAGCCAGACAACTGGCCAGAATACCAAGCTACGAGTTGGTCTAAACAACCTTGGATTTCCACATGTGACTCCTCACATACCCGGCCAAATGGAAATTGGCTCCACTTCTGATTCACTGGGTTAGTACTTAGTAGAGATTTATTGAATGTGATAGTTCTCTACTGCACCTTTTGGTGGAAATAAAAGTCAGTCCTTGCCAGCACCAATCTATCTCGTTTGAGTTCTTTTCCAAAATATACAACCAGATTGCATTTTGGACTAAGGGATGGAGCCCCAAACTCTGAGACGTCCTGGTCTCTCAAAGTAGAAGACAGTAACCGTTTGCCTCTAACTTTTCACTGTCTCTGTCTCTTATCCTGGGACAGAGCCACCCTTTGTCCTTCTTCTGCTCTAGGCATTCTGGCTTTGTATATGTTACTACTTTAATCCAAATTAAATGGGGCTGCCTAAAAGCTTGTTCTAAGATCGTAGATGGTGGTACGTTCAAAATCAATCTCTCCCTGAAATGCTTGAGACATTAATTAAATAGAGCCATTAATTTAACGTTAACAATCTAATTCCAGGCATTAATTTAAGATTTTGACTCTCTCACAATACCTTAAATCAATCGTTCATTTTTAACCTAGGAGGCTTTGTACCATTTTCAGAGGGTTTTACATGTTTCTGATCTGATCCATTATCAGTTGATTCAGTATTCAAGTGGTGCCACAGGAAATTGTTCAAATGTGAGGCCCTGTGTTGATTTCAAAGTCTAATTCTTGGATAGACAAACTATTTCCCAGTTCTTCACACTTTCCCTTATCCGTCTCTCCTAACCGGTCAGCAACTTGAGGCCTGGGTGGAGTCTTGGTGCCAAGACCCAGGACTCTGTCTGACACGTGGCTGGTACTTAGTTGAGGTTTATGGAATGTAAAAATTCTCTGTTGCCAGTGTGTCCTGGTGATTTCCACAATAACAGCCCATAGATACTGAATTAAAGATAGATTTAAGGAGTTAGTGAATTCAGCAGACGGGTTAGCTTAAATCCTGTAATGTGTAGAACTCATACCACCACAGTGAAAAACACATCTTTCCTTTTCTGTTAAGGATATGATTTCAATATTGATTCAGTTTCATATTTGAGAGTAAATTGACAGAGCATCAGCCTACATAATACATATATACATAATTTTATAGTATATTGCTTAAATATTTGGATTTGAACTCTCTATCAAGAAGTATGAAATCATCACCAGGCCAGCTAATGCCATGCTCTGTCTATTTACTGTGATTGAACCAAAAAAAAGGTTAAGACTCCTTTTGACATACTTGCTCTTTGTGTGAGTAATGATTTATTCCAATCTGAGATTCTCCTTAATTTCTAGAGAGATGATTATGACCTTTGCTCTTCATAAGAGAGCTATGATTTGACATCTTTCAATAACTTTAAATATATATATAAAATAAATATATGTTATATATTTATATTATATATATAATATATTTTCTTCTGGGTAGCCAGCAAAGAGTAAGGCAATTGCTCTCTCTTTTTAAGGCCCATTATCTACTATTAGCTGCAGTAAAGAGTGTGCTCTTATATATTATCTGGTACACTAATTAAATTGAATGGGGTAGTGAGAACCTATTCACAGTGTTGGAGCTAATGATCCAGTGCATTAGTACTGATAGACAAGGCACATTCGAAGACAAATGTCTTGTTTTAATTGCACCATTGTATTGTTTGAATAAAGAGAGTGACATTTCTTTCAAATTGTCTGTAAGTAAAGTCTGTCATTATATGAATGGTAAAGTATCATCTATGTCTCCAGACTAACTAACGTTTAGTAAACATTTTTCCTTTGTTGATTACATCCATTCAGGGACTGTAAAATCAGTGCTGCTAATGTAATTCTAAATGGGTATTGATACTGATTATGGTTATTATACTGTTGAAAAATTAGGCAATATGGGAGCCTTAGAATTACATTAGAAAAGATAGTATACATATACTTTTAAAAAAGTAACAGTACTAATTAACAACAACTAAAACTTACATTCAAGACCCCATGAGGAAATAGATATAGAAATAAATAACATACTATTTAGGAATGTAAGCTTCACAAGAGTGGGGTTTTGTTTGCTTTGTTAACAGCTGTATCTTCAGCACCTAGAAGAATGCCTGGCACCTAGTGCCTTATCAATAAGTATTTGTTGAATGAATGAAAGTCATATATAGTATCCTATGATCCATCTTCTCATGAGTACTTAAGGTTTTATTCTGTCTCAATCTATTCAGGCTGCTATAACAGAAATATCATAGACTGGGTGCTTTAACAACAGAAATTCATTTCTCACAGTTCTGGAGGCTGGGAAGTCCAAGATCAGAGTGTCAGCAGATTCAGTGTCTGGCCAGAGACTGCTTCCTGGTTTATAGATGGCTGTCTTTTTGCTATAACCTCACATGGCAGAAAGGGCGAGGAAGCTTGCTGGGGTCACTTTTATAAGGGCACTAATCCCATTCATGAGGGCTCCACCCTAATCACCCCCCCAGAGCTCCCACTTCCAAATATCATCAAATTGGGGAATAGGTTTAAACATATGAATATTGAGAGGACATAAATATTCAGTCTACTGCAATTTCCAAACTATTTGCTATCTTAGTTCATTAGGATTAGACTTGAAATATAATATTAAAAATCCACCTCTATCCATTCCACTGTCTGAGTGCCTCTCCTCAAATGTTAAGCAGTATTAGTTTCCTATTACAAATTTGAAAACTAGGTTCTAAGAAGTCAGGAAATTTGGCCACAGTCATGACTGTGAAACAACATAGGTGTTCTGTGGTCCTCCTCATACTTTCAGCTCTCACCACCATGTGCAGTGTCCCCAACTCATGGCTAAGATAGGCAACAATGTCATGGTTCCATTTGTGTAAGAAGTAGAATCAGAATATTACATCAATATATAGATAACTGAAAAGTTTAATAAAACTATAAGCAAGGTTTGTATTATTGAAATTTTATACAGTAAAGAAACAGGTAATTTGCTTTCAGTAAGCAGTAGAGTACTAGAGCATTGTGAAAAGAGACTTTCAATGCCAATGTCTACAGTAGCCTTCATAGATAGAATCATTTAATGATTATGATGACAATCTGATATCAAAAACACTAGGCCTAAAGGAGAGGAATTCATTTGTCTAAATTGATTTGAGGCCCTAGATATTTCTAGCTTCTGTGGCAGTGATAAATGACCCCAAATCTTAATAGATTTCAACAATGTTTATGTGGCATTTGAGTTGGTTGTTTCTCTGACACATAGGCTGAAGAAACAGCCCCAGGCTAAAGGAACAGTCACTGTCTGGGACCTGCCATACTCGTGGCAGAAGAAAAGGAGCAAGAGAGCCAACAGAAATCTCTGGTAGTTTCTAGAGCTTCTGCTCCCAGTGTGGTATACATCACTTCCATTCACATCCTGTTGGCCAAAGCCAGTCACATGGTCAAGCTCAGCTCCAGCGGAGCAATGAGGTATATTCATTGCCATAATAGGTACTGAATGTCTCATGGCAATAGGTGGTGATATAGAACTCTTCTTGTGGAAAAGAGGAGTGAGTAATTAGGAACCTTATACATTCTACTTCTCCATCTAGTTTCCTAGGGCTGCTGTAACCCAAAGGAGCACAAACTGGGTGGCTTAAAACAACAGAAATTTATTCTTTCACAGTTCTGGAGGCCAGAGGTCAAAAGTCAAGGTGCTCGCAGGATTGTGTTCCCGCTAAGACTCTGGGTAGAATTCTTCCTTACCCCTTCCTAGCTTCGGGTGGTAGCTGTCAATCCTTGGCATTCCTTGGCTTGCAAATGTACCACTCTAATCTCCTCCTGTTGTCACATGGTGTTCTCCCTGTGTGT